TCAGCAAGAGCTTGCAGTCCTTCTTGCTTTCATCAAGCAAGATTGTGTCATCTGCACATCAGAGGTTGCTAAGCCTTCCTCTGATCCTAATGCCACACTCTTCTTACGTACTCCAGTTTCTTGGATTATTTGCTCAGTATAGAGAATGAATACATATGGTGAAAGTGTACAACACTGATGTTCACCTCTCCTGATTTTAAACCACGTGGGAGTCACTTGTTCTCTTGAAATTATTACCTCTTTGTCCATATACAAGTTTCACATGAGCACAATTCAGTAGTCTGAAATTCCGATTCTTCACAATGTTACCCATAGTTTTCATGATCCACACAGTGAACGCCTTTACCTCATCAATAAAATGCAAGTAAACATCTTTATGGTATCCATCTGACCTCAGCAATAAAATCCCTCACGACACATCCTCTTTTGAAACCAGCTTGAAATCCTGGGAGCTCCCTACAGATGTACTGTTGCAACCATTGTTGAATTAGCAAGATTTCACTTGACTGAGATGTTAATGATATGGTTGGTGCTCCTTCTGTCGCCTCCCCTGTCTTGGAAATGGACACAAACAGGGCCTCCTCCAGTCAGTTGGCCAGGGAGCTATCTTCCAGATATCCTGGCATCGATTAGTGAATGTTTCCAATGTTTCATAAGTTTGCTGAAACATTTCCATTGATATTCCATCAATTCCTAACGATTTATTTTTAACTACTGCCTTCAGTAGAGCTTGGACGTCTTCCTTCCGTATAGTAATGTCTTGATCATATGCTACCTCTAGAAATGGTTAAATGTCTACCAGTTCTTTTTGGTACGATAACTCTGTATTCTTTCCATTTTCTGTTTTGTTGCTGTTGTTGTTACTCTGAAACATGGGCGGGCTTGGTGACCCTTTTTGTTTATTTAACTTTTATTGCGCTATAATTCACGTACCATAAAATTCAATCGTTTCAGTATATTTTTAAAAGAGTGCGTAATAATCACCACAATTTTAGAATATTTTTCATTTTTGCGTGCATTATTAATAACTTCCTATTTCCCTCAACCTCCCCTGCAAAAACACTAAGAAAATATTATCTAGTTATTCACCCTATAGATTTACCTATCCTAGATTTCATATAAAGAAAATCATACGAAATAGACCAAGAACAACAGCAAAACAAAATAATGTCAAATCTCAGTCAAAATATCAGAAAATAATAAAGATTAGAACCAATTTAAAATGGAACAAACAGTACAGAATCCTTCACCTCTCAAAAGCACAATATATATATTTTTTTCCCTAGTGTACATCAAGCATACTACAGAATAGATCATATCTTGGCCATAAAAGCAAGCATCAAGAAATTTTAAAACATCAACATACTACGAATCATTTTTTTCAGATCACAATGCTATAAAATTAGAAATTGGCCATAGGACAATCAACTAAAAAGAGATCAGTCACATGGAAAATAAACAACACTTTACTTAAAAGTCGCTGGGGAATTGAAGAAATTAAGAGCACCTTTTAAAATTCTTTAAACAAATGAGAGTAAAGCTTACCAAAATCTCTGGGATACAGCAAAAGCAGTGTTCAAAGACAATGTATAGTAATACGTACATACATCGGAAAGGAAAAATAAAATAAACACCTTAACACATCACCAAAACTCTTAAGACAAGACCAGCAAAACAAAGCCTCATTTGCTAGTAGAAAATAAATAATAAAGATGAGAGCAGGGATAAATGAATCAGAAAACACTAAAAAGCAACAAGATGAGAAGTTGGTTCTTTTGAAAGCTCTGACAAATTATCAACCACTGGCAAACCTAATCAGGAATAAGGAGGAAAAACAAATATTGCAAGTAAGATGAAATGGGCAACATCATAACAGAACCAACCAAAATAAAAATAGTTACACAATATTGTGGGAAAAATATATTCCAACAAATGTGCAAACTTAGAAGAAATGGATAACTTTCCAGAAACATATTAGCTATCTAAATTAACAAATATTGGTGTAGAAAACCTAAACAGACCTATAACACAAAAAGAAATAAGTCTGGTCATTTTCTACATAAGAACGTAAGAAAAGGATACTTATGTTCTATTTCGGAACATAAGAAAAGGATACTACAGTGCCAAACTCAATCCAGGAAGCAAGTTCAGCCCTGATACCCAAGTCAAAAGAAGATATCACCAGGAATGATTTTTATAGACCAATATCTCTGATGAAGAGAAATGCCAAAATTTTCAACAAAATTATAGCCAACAGAATGCAATAAAACATTTAAAAAATCATTATGTCGCGATCAAGTGGGAGTCATACCAGGTATGCAAAGGTAGTTCAACCCTACAAAAGCGATCCATGTGATCCATCACATCACATAAGCAAAACAAAGAAAAGAACCATTTGATTTTATAGATCGATGCAGAGAAAGCACTAGATAAAATTCAACATTGATTCATGATTTTTAAAAAACACTTAATAAAATAGGATTAGGAGGGAAATCTCTTAGCATAATAAAGGCCATATATGCAAAACCAACAGCTAGTATCTCACTTAATGGAGAGAAATTGAAAACATTCCCCCTCTGAATGAGAACCAGATAGGGTGGCCCTTTATCACCTCTCTTTTTAATATCGTCCTAGAAGTGTTGGCCAGAGTGATCAGACATCAAAAGGATATGTAAAGGCATCCACATGGGCAAGGAATAAACAAAATTCTCTTCATCTGCAGATGACATCATCTTATGTATAGAAGCCCCCAGAGACGCACTTTAAAAATTGCTGGAACTAAATGAAAATGTTAGCAACATAGTAGGACAGAAGATCAGCATACAAAAATCAAGTGGTTTCTTGTACATTAAAGAAGAGGACCCTAAAAAGGAAATTAAAAGAACAATATTGACTTCTGAAAAGATAAAATATTTAGTAATACATCTAACCAGGAAAACAAAAGACTTATACAAAGAAAAACAAAGCACTTCTACAAGAAACCAAAATAGACTTAAATAAACCGAAGTATGTCCCATGCTTATGGATAGGAAGACCTAATACAGTGCAAGTGTCAATTTTACCCAAAGCACTTTGTCATTCAATGCACTTCTGATCCATGGCTCACCACAATTCTTCAAAGAAATGGGGAAAATAATGATCAGCTTTTATATGGAAAGGAAATAAACCCAGGATAAGCAAAACACTATTAAACAACAAAGACAAGATCACTCCCAGATTCCAAAACCGATTATACAACCACAGTAAGCAAAACAGTGGTATTTGTACAATAGATATGTAGACCTATGCAGTAGAACAGAGACTCCAGAAATAGAACCAAGCACCTCCAGACACCAGCTTTCTGATAAAGGGCTAAAACACATTGATGGAGACGAGATGGCCTGTTCAATAAATAGTGATGGGAAAATTAATCTCCACTTGCAAAAGAATTAAATAAGACCCATACCTCACATCATGTACAAAATTTAGTTCAAGATGGATTAAAGTCTTCCATATAACCCTAGAAGTATAAGGATCATCAATGAAAACAATAGGGACAAGGGATCTAATACAAGGTATAATATACTAGCAAACATAATGGGAAACACCCACCCTACAGAAGGCAAAATGGACCGAGACCTTCTAAAACTACATCAAAAGACTTCATCAAAGGTTATGAATGAATGAAAGCACAAATTCATTTGTGGAGTCGCCATGTGGATTAAACCTGTGGGGAATTGCCTCTGATCATTGACTGAGATGATCAATAGCTCTGCTATCAGGGTGCATTGGAAAGTGGAGGAATTTAGATGTAGTTGGTTTAAAATTCAACACCTTTTTGTTCCCCTTTTTAACCCATTTTGAACTTGTTCTAATTGTTATAATATTCTTTTAGATTGAGGTTTTTCTGTTAGATTTGGTCATTGTTTTGAGGGGAGAGGCAGTACGATTTTTTTGGTATAAGAAATCCAGGAGAGAAAGAACTACAGAGAAAGCAAGGGGACCAATGGTTTCTTAGGATTATGGTTTGCAGGGAATGGAGCCTAAGGGTAATGAGCACGAGAATGAATAAATAACATGTTCTCAAAATGATGATGGTGATGAAAACACGACTCCTTTTCATGGCGGTGAATTTTGAAAGGGGTGAGCATGTGCCCCTAGGTGCCATGGGGGTCTTGGGTTGCTAACAAGGTCAGCAGTTCAACTCCACCAGTCCTTTGGCAAGAGAGAAATACAGCTTCTGGTTCCATCCAGATTGGCAGCTTCTAGGGTAGCTAGGGGTTCCCGCTGTGCCGAGCAAGAGCTTCGGGGATGAAGGCCAGGGAGTGGGGCGAGTAGAGCAAGCTATGGGGAGGGTGGCTAAGTTGGTGAAGGCAAAGATGATGTGCTACTATGTAAACTCCCACTAAACTCACGATTAAAAAGGCTTTTCAAGTGTAAAGCCTTGGAAACCCAGAGGGGCATGTCGACTCTGTTCTGTAGGGTCCCTCTGATTTGGCCTGGAGGGTGGTGAGTTTGGTTTGGGTTTAGAGCCTGTTCCCTGCGCCAGGAGGTGCCCTGTTGAAAAGATTTTAGACCAAAGGTCCCGGCAGCCAAAACTCAAAGGCTGCCCGTGGGAAATACCCTGTCGGGTGAGAGGGGCCGGAGTTTCCTCTTTAGGGGCACCCTCCCTCCCAGGCGCCGTTCTCACTGCACCCTGTAGAAGTGGGGCTTTGACAGAGGAACGTGGCGGTTCTTCAAACCGAGCGCTTCTGCAAAGATCAAGAATTCCAGCGCTTGCATCAGACTCCTTTCGATCGGATAAAGAGCGCCCAGCGGGGTGGGTTTTATGGTCCAGAGGAGCAGCTGTGCTTTGTGGGGGCGATTCCCCCAGCTCGGCGAGTGTCGCACGCCCCCCTCCGCACCCCCATCGCCCGCCCCCCCCACTGCGCGCAGCACGTGGACATGGACAGGGAAAGCGAAAGCGACAGAAGGCAGCACGCCCTCGGTGGCACAGGTTGACGGCCAGATTAGGGGGAACCCAGCAAGGGTGCGGGGCTGGAGCAGTTTCAGAGCTCCGACCCAGACCGAAGACCGGTCCCCAAGGCGCCGGGTGAGTTCCTGTAGCGCAGCAGGGGACGCCCCCCAAACCACCCCCCTTTCACACACACCCTCCACCCCCTCTCACCCCCAACCCCCTTCCAGACCCTGGGAACCTCCGCACAAGGGCTGCCCAACTGGGTGCCACTCCGTGGCGGCAGGAGGAGATGGGGGTCGGGGAGAGGTATCAGGGAAAAGTGTTTGTTTTTCATGGGTGAGGTTCCAGGCGATAGGGCTCCCCAGACCCCACCTATTGCACCATCTCCTCTGAGACGGATGTACCGATGAACACGGGGCACCCAGGGATCACACAGCCACTGGTTTGGGTGAGGTGGGGGCGGACAGATGGACCAAGAGGGACAAATACTGAGACTCCAATTCCTTGACTTTGTACCTTTTCTGGGATGGCACAGATTTTCCCAGAAACATTGACAGCTTACTTAAACACAGCAAGCAAGAACGCAATTCTATTCTGTAATATAGGATGCCGCGAGACTGAAGCAATGTGTTTCTTTGTTTGCTTTCAACCCGCTAGGTAACATGCCACTCCCTGACCTGAGACCCTGGGCCAGCCTGCTGCTGCTGGACTTGGCCTTGCTCTGGCTACTTCAGGGGACCCTGGGGGCTCTGCTCCCTGGAGGGCTTCCTGGCCTATGGCTGGAGGCAGCCGTCCGCCTTGGGGGCCTCTGGTGCTTGCTGAAGCTGAGAGGGCTGCCGGAGGTTGGGGGGACACTGCTGCCCATGCTCTGCCTGGTGCTGCCCCTCTTTCTCTCACTGAGGGCTCTGGTCCCAGGGGCCTTGAGTGCACCCCCAGCCAGGGTAGCCTCAGCCCCTTGGAGCTGGCTGCTGGTGGGCTATGGGGCTGCAGCCCTAAGCTGGGCGGTGTGGGCCATCCTGAGCCCTCCCGGAGCCCCTGCCCAGGAGACGAAGCAGGGTCAGGAGAACAAAGCCTTGCTCTGGAGGCTGCTGAAGCTCTCCAGGCCAGACCTGCCTTTCCTCCTGGCCGCCTTCTTCTTCCTGGTTTTGGCCGTTTGGGGTGAGTAGGGAGAGGGCAGGGAGGGGTGGAGGTGAAAAAAGGCCCCCGGCACCCGCAGGTTCATCTGTTCTTCTTTCATGTCTTTTCCTCCCAGGTGAGACTCTCATTCCTTACTATTCTGGTCATGTGATTGACATCCTGGGAGGGGACTTTGACCCTGAAGCCTTTGCCAGTGCCATGTTTTTCATGTGCCTCTTCTCCTTTGGGAGGTAGGTGATGGGCACTTGGGTCTGTTTACTAGCCCCAATCTTCCTGTTGTCCTTCGCTGCTCTTGAGTTGGCCCCTGACTCATGGTGACCTCACAGGGTGACCCACGCACAATGGGAGGCCATCAGCCCAGCGGGAGTCCGCGGGTTCTCACTGGCTGATTTTTGGAAGTAGATTGCTGAGCCTTGCTTCCTAGTCTTCCTTCGTCTACAAACCCCCCTGAAACCTGTTCAGCACCATAGCAACATGGAGGCGTCCCCAGACAGGCAGCTGGTAGTTGTTGTAAGGTGCCTTGAGTGGGAATTAAACTACAGTCTCCTGCATAGAAGGTGAGAATTCTATTACTGAGTTAATCAAATTTAAAATTTCAGTTTTATTGTCCAAAATTGGTTGAGAAAAGGCAGGGATGCGTGAGATGGGGACGGTGTGAGTGGGCTCAGCAGAGTGGGAGAGCAGGTAGCTCCACGGATGCAGTTCCCGTGACAAAGCATCTGGGACTAGGGAGAGGACTGCCAGGACAGGGGAGGAGAGACGTCTGGGCAAAGTGGAAGCTGTGACATAATACTGAGGCCCGGCGAAAAGCAAGCCCCGGGCCATTTGCCCCCTTGTCATTTCTGTTACCTTCTGCTCCTTTGTAAACGTCCGTGCGTTTGAATGTGCTGTGATTTTGTTCTCATATCTAGCTCACCGTGTCTCCTTTCTTCCTCTGTTTATTCCTGTCCTTCACGCTTGCTCTCCATGTCTTCTCTTTGCCTCTCTTGGTCTACTTTCCCCAACTTGGCATTTCGTTGCATTGTGGACTTTCTCCGCACTTCTCACCCATCCCTTCCCTCTCTGCATCTCTCTCCCCCCTCAACCCTCCCCCTTCCCCCCATGTCCCCAGCTCACTGTCTGCAGGCTGCCGCGGGGGCTCCTTCATGGTGACCATGTCCAGAATCAACTTGCGCATCCGGGACCTGCTCTTTGCCTCCCTGCTTCGCCAAGACCTCGGCTTCTTCCAGGAGACTAAGACAGGTGGGGCCTGGACCCC